GTCCTAGGCCCCTGGGTGGGGCCCGACTAGTAACCAATGCGAAATCCGGTGAAACAACTGGCCGCTGTGATACAATGTTAAAATAATAATAATACTGGATGCAAATACAAAATGCAGACAATTAGTGGAAACCCAAATTTTCCTCATTGGGACTGATAGACAGTCAATTAGAAAGACTCGGGGAAGATTAGCTGCAATAAGGCTTTTATGTGCACCAAGATGGGAAAAGGCAGAATAAAAGGGAGAGATGGAGAAATGCCAAAATAGCTAAATTGACTTCTTTGGTTAGGGAAGGAGTCAGAGATACTTCTACCAAAGGCTGGAAACCCTTCATGGACTTTTCACTGAAAAGGTAGGAAAATGGTCATTAAGACGGGTTTTATATGGGAAGAAGAAGGGAACTGGGTCACATAATTTGAGAGGGCATCCAGACACGACCATTTCTCTCCATAACTGCTGCAAGGACAATCAAAAGTTAATTCTTTAAATCCCTTCCTTCCTTCCTTCCTTCCTTCCTTCCTTCCTTCCTTCCTTCCTCTTCCTTCCTTTTTGAATCTATAGTGTTCACTTTTTTTCTGTGTTTCTTATATTTTTATATCTTTTCCACTTTTCTATATTCTTTTTCTGTACTGTTTAATTTTGTAAACTACTAATTCTTTTTTTAAAAAGGCAAGGAAATAATGAAGTCTGCTCCGGAGGGTGAGGCCAAGCCAAGGGACAGGGTGAGGGGTCAGGCACCAAAGCTCTTGCTTTCCAATACAGGCAGGGTGTTGGTGGGGGGGAGGCTGCCACTGTGGCAGAGGCCGCAGACAGACAAGGGGGAACTGATGATGTCACTTTATTTGGCAAGGCTTCTCTTCCTCCTGGGTAACTGTAGGAAGAGGTTTTAGGTGCAGAACTCACCACTTGATGAAGTGAACTCGCTTGTTTCCCTGCAGGACCACAAATCCAAACGGGGTGAAGGCCAGGAAAGCAGCATTTCCAGAGACGTCCTGAAACACACCAGCAACTGCTCACCGATGGTTGAAGGCAAACTCGGCCCCCCGTGGTGGAGCTGGCCAGAGGGCAGCCTCTTGGGTCACCAGGAGCTGGATGCCTGCGTTGAAGCTCCCGGAGCCTGGACATCATTTCCCTCCCCTTTGGGGAGGCAGCTGCCCAGAGCTTCCGGGAGCCATGACCCAAAGGCGCCTCTTGCATGCCCTGCCTGGAGGCATCACGGCCCTCTTCTTCAAGCCACCTGGGCTGCTTTATTTCTGGGTAGGGCCAGCATGTGTGTGCAGGTATACAGCCACATGTCGTCCCAGAAGAAAGGACTGACTGCAACCCTTCAAGGTAGAACAGACGGGGAGACCAAAGTCACACATGCAAACGTTGCTCTTCTGTAAGGTTACAGTAACAGAATCCCCCAAGCCTTGTTATGAGCCCCCCCCCTACCTGTTGAAATGCTTTCTCACATTCCCTTTCTGCCTTGGACCCAAATTTCTTTTCTCTGAGCATCACTTTGGCTGCTGTCCTTCCTCTGTTTCTCAAGGTTGCTTCTATTGCCCAACATGGGGCCCTTTTGTACCACCTGTGCTGGCAGAGGAAGCACACTACGGCCCTCCCTGGTCAAGGAATTCTGGCTGGTGGGGCCCACGAGAGCCTTTCCTGCCGTGGCTTTTGCCCTTTGGAGCTTTTGCCCCCCCCCCACACCCCTTCGGGGCAGATCTGCTCCCACCTCCTGACCTTCCATAAAGGCTTGGAAACCTGGCTTTCCCAGTTGGCCTGGGGCCTCCATGCGGGGAGTATCACGCTGGAGGTGGTTGGTGGACTAATGGTAGATCCCACCTCCCTCCCTATCCTTTTACCAGAATTTATAATGTCATTGTTACTGGGTGTGTGTGCGGGCGTGCATAGTTTTATTGCTTTTGACCTTGTAAGCTCACTTTGTGACAGATAGATTTAATAAAAAGTAAATAAATAAACTTTATCCTTGATTTGAAGCACAAACCACAAGGCAGCAGACTGAGAACTTGCCCTTGGTAACTGCTGAGGGCTCTGCCATAGTTGGTCCCCTGCTAGCTGCTGGATGGAAGGCAAAGTAGGGAGAGAAGGTGAAAGAGAGAGAGAGGGGGAAAGAAAGAAAATTTAGCCCCCTCAGGGAGGGCCCGCAATCTGGGCGTCCTTCTGAATACACGGCTTAGTTTAGAAGGACACCTGATGGCCGTGACCATGGGGGCCTTTTACCAGGTTCGCCTGGTATGTCAGTTGCGCCCCTTCCTGGATCGGGATACTCTGTGCACAGTCACCCATGCCCTCGTCCTTTCTCGCCTGGACTACTGCAACGCTCTCTACATGGGGCTGCCCTTGAAGAGCTCCTGGAGGCTTCAGCTGGTCCAGAATG